ACCGTCCTCCATTTTTCTTTCAAAAAATCTTCCCTACCACTTACACAACACCATTCCCAATTCACCGACAGTAGTTTTACCTCAGAGCTAGACATCACCACCAAAAACTGGCATGAGAACACAAAATATTGTTAGCCAGGAAGCAATAAAATACTTGTAAGCAGTAAGTTAGTGGCTTCAAAGAAGAACAATTGTTTGATCTTTTCTCATGGGGTCTGTGGGTCAAGAATTCAACTGAATAGCTCTGACTCAAGGTCTCCCGTTTGGTGGATTTGCAACAGTGAAAGGCTGGGCTACCCAGAGTCTCGGGGCCTCTCCATACTCTATCTGGGCTGGTTTGGAATGCCTCATAGTAGCACTGCTTACTTAGAGGCTAAAAGCTTAAAGAGTAAGAAGTGAAGAGTGAAATATTCCAGGATTCCAGCAAGGTAGAACTGAAATGGCCTTTTATGATCCAGCCTCAGATTCACAGAGATCCACATCCACCACACGCCATTGGTCCAGTCATCAAAGCCTGCCTGATGTCAAAGGGAAGCAATGTAGACCTCAACTATTGTTGGAAAGGATGTCAAAGTCACACTGCAGGAAAAGCATGAGATGTGAAAGGCATTTATGGCCATCTTCAAAAAATACAATGGGTCAAATGAGATTTTTTTCATAAGGGATGCTTTTAAAAAGTATTATTTTTAAATTAAAAAAAATTAAAAGTAAAAGTAGTATTTTTAAAGTAGCATTTTTATACAGAAACCATCAACAAAACAAAAAGGCAACTTATTGAATGGCAGAAGATACTTGGGGCGCCTGGGTGGCTCAGTTGTTAAGCGTCTGCCTTCGGCTCAGGTCATGATCCCAGAGTGCTGGGATCGAGTCCCGCATCAGGCTCTGTGCTCGGGCGGGAAGCCTGCTTCTCCCTCTCCCACTCCCCCTGCTTGTGTTCCCTCTCTCGCTGTGTCCTCTCTCTCAAATAAATAAAGTCTTTAAAAAAAAAAAAGATACTTGCAAAATGGTATGTCCAATAAGGGTTTAATATCCAAAATATATAAAGAACTTCTACGACCCAACACCAAAAAAAAAAAATAATAATAATAATAAGCCAATTAAAAATGGGCAGAGGAAATGAAGAGACATTTTTCCAAAGAAGACATACAGATGACCAACAGACAAATAAAGAGATACTCAATATTGCTCATCATCAGGGAAATGCAAACCAAAACCACAATGAAAACCACCTCACACCTGTCAAAATGGCTAAAATCAAAAACACAAGAAATAGATAGCGTTGGCCAGGATGTGGAGAAAAAGGAACCCTCGGGTGCTGTTGGTGGGAATGCAGATGGTACAGCCGCTATGGAAAGCACTATGGAGGTTCCACAAAAAATTAAAAATGAAACTACTATATGACCGAATAATTTCACTCCTGGATATTTACCCAAAGAAAACAAAAATACTACCTCAAAAAGATGTATGCACCCCTAGGTTTATTGCAGCAATATTTACTATACCTAAGATACAGGAGCAAACCAAGTGTCTATCAGCAGATGAATGGATAAAGAAGATGCGGTGTATCTATACACGATGGAATATTACTCAGTCATAAAAAAAGAATGAAATCTTGCCATTTGCAACAACATGAACAGACCTAGGGTATCAGTGAGAGAAAGACCAATACCATCTGATATCACTCATATGTGGAATTTAAATAACAAAACAAAATGAACAACTAAAGAGAGACAAACAATCAAACAAAAGCACGCACTTAAATACAGAGAACAGACTGATGGTTGCCAGAGGGGAGGTGGATGGAGGATGGGTGAAATCAAGAGGATTAAGAGTACACTTACCGTGGGCGCCTGGGTGGCTCAGTTGGTTAAGCGACTGCCTTCGGCTCAGGTCATGATCCTGGAGTCCCGGGATCGAGTCCCGCATCGGGCTCCCTGCTCGGCAAGGAGTCTGCTTCTCCCTCTGACCCTCCCCCCCTCTCAGGCTCTCTCTCTCTCTATCTCATTCTCTCTCTCACATAAATAAATAAAATCTTTAAAAAAAAAAAAAAAGAGTACACTTACCTTGAGAAGCACTGAGAAAAGTATGGGATTGTTGAATCATACATCATATACCTCTAACTTATATAACATTATATATTAATTACACTTAAAAAATTTTTAATGAAAAGTCACATCTTTAATCATTTATGTTTACATGTTAGAAAACAGTCTTTCAAAAAATCCTAAAATATACTTAGTGATAAAATAAAAAAGGTGAGTCCAGTTCTACACTGTAGTGTTATGTAACTTACAAAACACAAGAAAAATTGGTCCTGAAAATGCTTCGATAAGGTACGATCAGCAGCAAATGATCAAAGCACAAATGTATTCTTCTTCAGACTCTTAGCAAATCCCAGGGGCAGGGGTGATGCAGTTACCGCAAACATGGTCCTGGCACCTACCTACTGTTTTCATCTCTGTCTAGTTTGCTCTCAGCTTATCAGCATGACATAAAACATCATGTTCCCCGGTGGTATATTTCATAGACTTTTACCAGTAACATAGTCTTGAATCTGACAATGGTGTTTCTAAAGTGTAATCCTTCATAATTCTACTAAAACAATTACTTCTGTAGTCAGAACCAAACTGGGTGCCACTATCAAAAAACAGGGTCCACAAATCAAAATGTACTTTTGAAATAACTCACCTGAGTAACCTGGACTTCTCTAACACCATGGAGAGGTTACATAGTCCAAAGCTAGATTTCTAAGTATTTCTTTTTCATTCACTTTGTTTATATCCCACCACACTCCCTAAAACCGCCTCCTCCAAACTCTGAAAATCCTTCTGGCTATGAATCTATCTTGTCCTCACATTCAACTCTCTTTCCTCCAGATATACCACCATCTGGTAATAGCATGCTCCTTCTTCATAGGCCAAAAATACCCAGGTCAACAAAATCATAGCTCTCTTTAATAGGAATACTCACTGTCAATATTTCTTTCCTAAATTGTTCTTTCGAGGTTAGTTGTGAAAAGCGGTGTCCATGTCACCACAGAATTTTCCATTATGAAGAAAGTGTCCATAATTCATATGTTAACTAGTGAGTAAGTATTGAGAGACAGGGTAGTACTTCTCAGACTTAGATATGCAAACAAATAACCTGGGAATCTCTCTATATTCTGATCCAGTGGGTGTGGGCTGGGCCCAAGACCTTGCATTTCCAACCAGCTACCAAATCATGTCAAGGCCGCTGCTCTGGAAACCACACTTGGGAGCATCAAGGGTCCTTTTTTATATTATTGTTTTCAGTTATTTACATTCACAATTGCTAGCTCGGAAGGGTTTCCAGTTTTCTGAAGATTTTGGAACATAGAGGTAAACAAAGAAAGGCAAAAAGGAAAATCCAGTGACCTCAGTCAGCCAAAGCCATGTATATGGTGGCAACCGAAGAGAGAGGTGATAGACCAGTGCCAAGGCCGAGGAGGAGCAGGTGGGTGTGAGCAGGCAGCGGGTGGAACGTCCTTCCCGAAAGTTTCCAACTCACCACTGATCTGCCCGCTCCACTAGATGCTTCTTTCTCTCTGTCTTGAACCTCACAGCTCAGCATAGTCCCTCTGTGTGTCATTATCTGTTCAAAGGTGAATGATTACTTAATGACTGAGCAGAGTTGAAAGCAAGTTGAGAAGAGAAACCGAACAGATGCCAAGGGGTTGGATGAAACGTGTGCATGTTTATCTGGGAGGCAGGGAGCCAGGGGAGAGCAGGGCGCTGACGGGATTGTGAAGAAGGAATGGAAAAGTGCCCACAGTGAAACCTGCAAAATGCCGAAAACAAACTTCCTCGATTTCCTGATTTGGCTCAGGTCTGGGCTCCTGGTCCCTGTCTTTCTTTTATAATTAACTATAGCTGGATGCACATAAGACACGTACTTAAATCTCAGTGGGCTGTTTAGGTCTGTTTATTTAGGTTTTACTTATAGTCCCAGATTAGATCATTTCCTCTTTAAAATGGTACGCAAACTCTTGAGTAGAAGAGTTCTTTATCTGATTGCTATTCAGGACACAGGTGTAAGGAGAATTTTGTTTTTAAAAACTTACAAGGACTATTGAGTTTTCACATTACACTATGTGAACCTTTTAAAGTGACTAACGAGAAACCCACATATTCACAATCAACCTCTAAAGCTACTGTGGTTTCTTAGTTTCTTTGTTTGACCCTCAGAAAAACTCTATGTTCCTAAGCCACTAGAGATGTAAACAAAATAGATGTGCTTATCAGATTTCTCCCATCCCACACTTTGCTTTCCTGTTGTCTCCACTTGCCCTTCTGGGGAAAGGATTAATGGATTTCAACAGAAACTTCTGTGGGCCTCAGAGGAGGTGGCTCCTGGCTTGATTTGTCCCTTGTGTGTGGTTGTAAAACACTGTGACCAGATGACCCAGCACTGCCAAGTAACAGACCCTCCCCATACCATGTTGGGTCTCGAGCCAAGACCACTGTCCCCTCTACCAGGTCTCTTGAGATTAGCAGAACAACAGTATATTCTAGTGAAACGGATTCAGTAACTTGTGGCTCAGAGCCCACAATAAAATCATGGTAACCATTTATAAACATTAAAACGTTAATCCTTTCCAAATAGGTCCTGATGAGAACAAGGCTAATTGCAGCAATGACCTGAAGTGTAGACCCTGTTCGGCATTCATCTCCTTCGTGGTGGTGGGACCTGTCGCAGGAAATCCTGTGACTCGGCTGTGCACGGGTCTAATTGTAATCATAAGGCTCCAAATGGGCATTCCTGCTAGATGAGCTGATTTTCATCAAAGAACTAAAAGGTAAAACATAATTCTTATTTGGGGTAGTTACTGTAATTTAACTACTCTTCAAAGACTAAGGCTTCTTAAACATCCTTTCATGATTCCCATTCCTGCATTTGTTTTTGTTTTTATTTTTTAATTATAGAAAACACTTCAGTTAGGTTAAATACTTTAGTTTTTATTCATCAGCGATTGTATATTTATGGGCTTGTATGTATATATTAAGGGCTTGAGATTGCACTTCAGCAAAACTCTTCTCAAAATGAAATCCTCTGAAAAATGCCTACCCAATCAGTTCTACTTAGCTTCACTCAAGCTGACCTTTGCCTTTAAAGTGGAGACTGTGTCCATGGTGGTTTATCCCGAGTGTGTCTGTGAGTCACCGGTTTCTATAGTTATAGGTGACCTGTGCACCCAGGATGGGTTTATGGATGTCAAGGTCTACAGCCACCAAACAAAACCAGCTCTAAACTTGAATACCCTCAGGGTGGGAGACTCGTCCTGCCGACCTACCTTCAAGGTTCCATCTCAAGGGCTGACACTGTTTCACATCCCCCTGAATGGATGCGGAACAAGATATAAGTTCAAGGATGACAAAGTCATTTATGAAAATGAAATACATGCTCTCTGGGCAGATCTCCCTCCACGCACAATTTCCAGAGATAGTGAATTCAGAATGACTGTGAGGTGCCATTACAGCAGAGATGACCTGCTAATAAAGACCGATGTCCAAAGTCTTCCTCCTCCAATGGCCTCAGTGAGGCCAGGTCCACTTGCCTTGAGCCTGCAAACCTACCCAGATAAATCCTACCTTCGACCTTATAGGGACAGGGAGTACCCTGTGGTGAGATACCTCCGCCAACCAATTTACCTGGAACTAAGAGTCCTTAATAGGTCTGACCCCAACATCAAGCTGGTCTTAGATGATTGCTGGGCAACATCCACCATGGACCCAGACTCCCTCCCCCAGTGGAATATAATCACAGATGGCTGTGAATACAACCTGGACAATTACAGAACCACCTTCCATCCAGTTGGTTCCTCCGTGACATATCCTAATCACTATCAGAGGTTTGATGTGAAGACCTTTGCCTTTGTATCACAGGCCCAAGTGCTCTCTAGCCTGGTCTACTTCCACTGCAGCGCGTTAATCTGCAATCAACTCTCTCCTGATTCCCCTCTGTGTTCTGTGACTTGCCCTGTGTCATCCAGACAGCGGCGAGCCACGGGCACCACTGAAGAGAAAATGATAGTAAGTCTCCCAGGACCCATCCTCCTGTTGTCAGATGGCTCTTCACTCAGAGATGCTGTGGACTCGAAAGGGCACTGGGCTGCCGGATATGTTGCTTTTAAGACTGTGGTGGCTGTGGGTGGCTTAGCAGGCCTGGTGGCAACTCTAGGCCTCATTAGCTACCTGCACAAGAAAAGAACCATGATGTTAAATCACTAAGGATTTTCAAATAAAGTGGTTGAAGTAAAAAAAAAAAAAAAAAAAGTATGTATACATCCATGCTTACTACCATAGACACTTGGGCTATCCTATTTCACTTCGGTAACTTGCAAATGTATGTAACAGAACTTTTAAAAAAAATTATTTGTGGGGTGCCTGGGTGGCTCAATCAGTTAAGCATCTGCCTTTGGCTCGGGTCATAATCTCGGGGTCCCGGGATCGAGCCCCACGTTTGGTTCCCTGCTCAGTGGGGAGTCTGCTTCTCTCTCCCCCTCTGCCTCTCCACATCTCTCGTGCTCTCTCTCTCTCTCACTCTCTCTCAAATAAATAAACAAAATCTTAAAAGAAAAAAGTTATTTGTAACAGGGATGAAAATTACTACAGTGGGAAGTTTCACTCTATTTCCCTCTTCTTCCTGCTTTTCCACACCACCCTACAAGTGGACCTGGTTTGTTTTTGTTTTTTAAGATTTTATCCATTTATTTGAAAGAGAGAGAACACAAGCAGCGGTGAGTTGAGGGGAGAGAGAGAAGCAGACTCCCCACTGAGCAGGGAGCCTGATGTCACGGGGTTCAGTCCCAGGACCCCAGGATCACACCTGAGCTAAAGGCAGACGCTTAATGGACTGAGCCACCCAGGCACCCCTGGAACCTGGATTTTAAGGGGGATGAATTTTTACATCCTGGCTCACTAGATTAGTTACTTCATTTGGAAAAGTAAACAAAGACCATGAATAAAATGCAAAGAAAATTAAAAACACCATAGTCAATGGTATCATAACAGCATTGTTTGGTGACAGATGTGATCTACATTTGCGGGGAGCATAGCATAATGCAGAGAGTTGCTGAATCACTATATCGTACACCTGAACCACTACGTATCAACTATACCTTTCTTAAAAATAAAGTGACACCTTCTGAATAACTAAATTCAACTCTCATTAAACAAAACACACACAGAGCCCTTCCATCATGTCTTGGTCCTTATGACAAGATTCAGCTTTGTTTTCTTATGCTGATGATGATTATCATTGTTTTTTGATTGTTTACTAGAAAAGTGCCCTGAAATGGAAGACCTTAGTGTATATTCACCTCTGTAATCCAGCACCTACAACAGTAGCCGGCCCAGAGTAGACAACAAATGTTTCTAATGGAGGGGTGTGGTAACTGGTCAGACCACCTCAGATCCTGTCCTACCCCCATCCCCAGTCTGTTCTTAGCCCTGCAACTTCCTGGCCAGCTCGGAATCCATTGCCAAGAACCCAGCAGTGGGCGATTCACAAAGAAACTGAGAGCTGTTGTGCCTGATGGCCCACACTGTCAGAGAAAGTGTGGAGTTAAGTACCACCATAACTTCACATAGTACTAAATTAACATATCAGCTTATGAAGCATTGTAGCAGCTTCACTAAAAATGTGACAAGGACTTTTATTTTTAAGATTTTATTTATTTATTTGACACACAGAGAGAGAGAGACAGCTAGAAAGGGAACACAAGCAGGGGGAGTGGGAGAGGGAGAAGCAGACTCCCTGTTGAACAGGGAGCCCGACGCAGGGCTCGATCCCAGGACCCTGGGATCATGAACTGAGCCGAAGGCAGATGCTTAACGACTGAGCCACCCAGGTGCCCCCTGACAAGGACTTTTTTAAAATTAGTAAAGCACATCTGAAAATTATTTTTGTTCAAAGTAGAATTCAAGGTTTTCTAGTCTGAGAGGATTTTTCCTGATGATAGGTCTAAAGAAAATTAACTTTCCAATCAAACATTCTACTCTTTTTCCCTGTACCGTGTAACTTATTATAAAAGCTGTTTAACATACTCAAGAGAAGTACAGAGAATAACTTTAAAACTTGGGTAGCCCCAACCCGCTTTCAACAATTATTAATTAACTTTTTCCAAACTTCTTTATTTAAAAATAAAATGTCTCCATAATCGAAATTAAAAAAAGATTTCGATCATCAGAAAGAACAGTTTGAATATTGCTATCAAACAAAGGTAGGAAGAATTTCTGTTGAACATTTTTTTTTTAAATAATCTCTACACCCAACGTGGAGCTCGAACTCAGGACCCTGCGATCAAGACTTGCAGACTGACAAGAGCCCCCCAGGAACCCCTCTGTTGAACAATTTTAAATGTTACTAAAACAAATGGGTACAGTCTCCCTGGAAATAAATATAAGGAAAATTCCTTCATTACAAATGTCTGAGTCTTTTCTGTTGTTATCAATAACATTAAAATATTATTGAGATTTATATATAGGTAGATATCATATATCCAGGAGGTGGATCAGAGGTTTACCCATCTCCTTAGAGTGAATTTTGAAATTAAATGATGTCTTCTTCCCCAAAATAGTAATCCTCCCCTAAAATTCTCCTCAACCCTCCTATTTATATGTTTTAGTGTGTAGATAGGGTAGGTATGCCTAGCTAGGGTAGGGAAGGAGATAAAAGTGGGCTTGCCTAGTTGAAAGAAATATTTAAGTGGAGATTTGAATTTTTAAAAAGAAAAGAGAAAACTGAAGAGCATTCCTTTCTTAACTGAAGAACTAGGTAGTCAAAAAACTTTTGATCATTCTTCCGCAAGCTTGCAAATACAATATGCAATCAAGTATGACTTTCTGGTACAGGAAACAGGAAACACCTGATATACAAGATTGTCTTTCTTATAAACCATATTGTCAGGAACAGAGTTGAACGAAGGGCAGACCAGGCGGGCTTGCCTAAGGCACTATTCTCTAAAAGGGACTCAAAGAGTCGTAGAAATGTCACAAGATGGGGGCGCCTGGGTGGCTTAGTCATTAAGCGTCTGCCTTTGGCTTGGGTCGCCATCCCAGGGTCCTGGGATCAAGCCCCACATCAGGGTCCCTGCTTGGCGGGAAGCCTGCTTCTCCCTCTCCCACTCCCCGTGCTTGCGTTCCCTCTCTCCTATCTCTCTCTCTCTCTCTGTCAAATAAATAAATAAAATCTTAAAAAAAAAAGAAAGAAAGAAAGAAAGAAACGTCACAAGATAGAGAAACTGGTGTTTACCCCATCGCTTCTTACAGAGAAAGTATTATGTTTGGATAAAACCCTTGGGGAGGGAGTGCTGAGATTTCCCCATCACCACCCCCCCAACTGCCAAGAAGGATGGGCCAGGCAGCTTCAGGCTTGGTTCTGCAAAGTGGATTATTCAAGGCTGGTAGAGCTGACTGACTTGTGATGGGGAATGAGATTGTCCCCTCCACCTTTCTCCTACCCAGAGCTCAGACTCTCTTCAAAGTAGATGTTCAAGTCTTTAAAGCATATGAGTTGTAAAGGACCAAATTATTAACAAGCCAAGCTGTCCACAGTGCCTGACTTATGTCACTCGGGCTGCTCAAACACAACAGTACACACTGGATGGTTAATTAACAGCACAGCTCTGAGGGCCAGGAAGTCCAAGATCAAGGTGTCAGCACGGTCACATGTGGTGAGGGCCCTCTTCCTGGGTCATATGCAGCACCTTCTCTCTGTGTTCTGACATGGTGGATGGGGCTAGGGATCTCTCTGGAGTCTCTCTTCTAAGGCACTAACCCTACTCATGAGAGCTCCACCATCACAGTCTAAACAACCTCCTCCCAAGACCACACTCTCAAACTCCATCACGGAAGGCGTTCGAATTTCAGAGAACACAAACATTCAGACTATTGCAGCCTCCCTCTGGGCCCGGTCACAAAATCTTCCTGACAGCAAAGCTCTGTTCTCATGCCATCTGTCCTCAGAAACATCTGAGTCCTTCTAGAGCTTTGTTCTCGTGGTACTCTTTGTAATGGAATGTTAAATCAACGTCCCATTCTTCACAGATGAAAAGTAGAATCAATATTTTTTTTTTTTTTTGATGTGTGAACTGGTTGTTAGCCAAAGAGAAAAGGATTTTAATTGAGTTGTTTCCTCCTTCCATGTCCATCCCATTTATTCTCAGAGGGTCTTTCATGGCAGGGCTGGTCTCAACTGCCCTGGGCATGAATGAGGGTGCCCATCCAGTCCCCCAGGCTGGAAAGGCTTGCCCCACCCTATACACTTTCCCCACTGGGAAAAAGCAAACTCACTCAATTGTCTTAAGAGGACACATATTTAGATTTTTTGTGGGGTTTTTTTTTTTTTTTTTTTTTTAGCTCCTGGTCAAAAAATGGCCATCAAAACATCAGCTCCAGGTAAAGAAGAGTACTTATTACTGAAAGAGACAGCCGTCTGAGAAACCATCACCTATGTGGATTTCTTGTTGTCTTAGTGTGAGGCCAGGACTCTACGAGACCACTCTTTTCTATTTGTTTCTGACAATTTTGGAATTGACCGTAACAGGAGCACAGTGGAAAATGCACGGAATTTCAAATGACCCACTCCTGTTTCTTTGTTTGTGAAATGGAAGTAATGATAAAAACTAGAATTACACTGAATGTTGCATGAGGTAACATGAGATCTCATTCTTGTGAGCTATAAATTGTTCTCAGCTATTTTGTGGGGCATGGATCGGCTCACTGGTAGTAACAAACAGAGCTACACACTTTTTTCCTGTTTTAAAAGTATGATTACTCATTCTGAAAGAAGGTGCTTCATGGTTGCTGCAAACCCTCATTGTTGGCTTTTGGTTAGGACCTTATAAAAGGAAGTATGAATTACTGTAATCTCGAGAATGGTGTAGGATGAAGCTCAAGCCTAGAGTTTAGCCCTTGACGTTATTACTATCCCAGTGGAAGATGGGGTGGGGCACTTGACAGAAATTTAGAATTCAGCCACAGCGGTAGTTCCTGTCATCTCTGCTGTCACGGGATGTACCAGAATGCATTATTTCAGCCTCCTTTACCAGATTAAATAAAGTAAGACAGAGTTACAGCTCTAATGCAAGAATGGGTTAAATTCTTTTAGACTGCCTTCTTGGGTTTAAGGAAAAACACAATGTTCCATGATAAAATCATGTTATTAAAGGGTTGCTCTGATATGATCAAACATATTAAAATCACATATTTCATAATGTCTTTATGTTTGGTCTTTAATCTATCATGATGAGCT